AATATTAAAATATTCAAGAAGCAATTTTTTTAAATTTGAAGATATTCAATAAACCTTTTTTGTTCACATAAAAAAGAAGGTAATATAAATGAAATTTTTTTTTCAAGGTTATATGAAACACGTGGGACATAAATTACATAAAATAATAACAATTTGTTAAAATAATTATAATGAATTTTTAATAATAATTAAATTTTTTTTGTACTTATATTTTTTGAAGCGATTTAAATATTTTTTATTAAAGTATATTGTTTAAATTTAACAAATTCTCTGATCTCTCTTTACTCAAGTGTTTGCACCTGACCGTTGTTACAGATAATAGAAAGATTTAAAGGTATTGAAAGGTATTTTTAGAAAAGAATTTGATTATTTGGAGTTTTTAACTTGTTTTGGATTATATTATATTTGGTTCATGATCATGATCTGTTGTTAATGAGAATTCACCAAAGCGATCGATTTTCGTACGTCCAGGACAGTGAAAATTTCGGGATTGCTTGCAATGTAAGTATCTATAATAGTGAAATAAATAAAATAAAAGAACCGATCTGACATGTAACAGAATTTTAACTTACCTGACTTTTTTTGGCACGAGTTTTAAAATTGATCAATTGTAATTTTAATGATAATTTTTAATTGGACAATTTTGAAATTTAGGCCGAAAAATGTCGGTTAGTTTGTGAATCATGCGTTCATTAAAATTTTATCACAATTACTGATAAGTTAAAAAAAAATTTGAAGCCTTACGTACAAAAAATGTTTTGAATGTTCAAATAAAGAAAGTATTTTTTTTTAAACTATGCTTTAAGTTTGAATTTCATTATAAAATTATATATTAAATATTAATCAAAATTTTATTAATTTAATTTATTAATTTTCATAACAGTACCTATAGTAATTTTTAAAAACATTTATAAAAAACAAATTTTATTTATTTGAACGTTCAACACTCTAGAAGCATTCCTGGAATTGAAAGGTATTTTTAGGAAAGAATTTGATGATTTGGAGTTTTTAACTTGTTTTGGATTATATGGAAAAAATTAGTGACTTTTAATTATTTTGAGTCAAAGATGGAATTGTACTGGTATCAGGTTTAATAGGATAATATTAATTTGGTAATAAGGGAAAAAATTGTATAATGTTAATATTATAAAATCAATTAAAATTGTCGTTACCCCAATAAAAAATTGTGATGAGACTGATGCCTGAATTGGTAGTTGAAATTTGTAATTTTTTTTCTATTTATATTCTATATAAGTAATCTCTAAACGATATCTCCAAGTTATGTCACAGAATCCCATTATATCCCATTGGTCGTCATCTTCGTCTTACAAGCACAATTATCATACACGGTTAGTCCGTGTATGCATATGCAAACACATATGAATTGTGCGACATTTTTCTTTGTCTTGTAATCGTGAAGTCGTGAAGATCGCATAAAATTTTTTTTTTCTTTTAACTAATACATTTATAAATAATAATTGATATTTCATACTTTTTTTTTAATTTTTTAAAAAATCAAGTGGTGAGAAAAATAAAAATAAATTAAGGGTAACACTCCGTCAGAAATATCACGATTTTCAAGGCGTTTTTGGATTCGTCTGTAATTTTGTGAAATTGTAGTATTGGATATAAGAAATGAAAGTCCCGAAGGCTTTTAAAAAATTTTCCAAATTGTAAAAGTTACGCCATATTTAATTTTTTGACAATTTAAATTTATATTATATTATATATATATAATATATTTATTATATTATATTATATGTAAATTTAACAAATTTTCTGATCTCACTTTACTCACGTGTTTGCACCTGACCGTTGTTACAGATAATAGAAAGATTTAAAGGAAATTGAGAGGGATATTAATTATTTATCTGTTCATGAACAATTTCTTTCTATAAAGAAGAACACTGAATGACAAAAGTTAAGGGGGTTGAAATACCCTTTGGATTGTGTCAAACTGAATTTGATTGATCTCCGTGTATGTTTTAAAATGGATTTAAAGACGGAGAAAAATCACTGATCAAGTTTTAATTTCTTTTATTAATAAATATATATAAAGAAAATCAATAAATTAGTCAAATCCTGAATAAAATAATATTATTGTTTTATACAAAAATAATTATTAAAAGGAGTAATTTTATTAAATGTCAATTAATTAATTTTAAAACAATTATTTAATATTAATTAATATTCTATTTTTTGTTTAGCAATTATTAATAAGCAAATAAATTATTCAGATACAATGGTTTTATTAAACTTTTTTTACAGAAAAAAAATTGATTCAAAAATAAAATTGTTAAAATTCGCAATTTATTATGTGATAATAAAAAAAATTCAATTTTTCACATATTGAGATGGAAACAATATGGCGAAATTTATATTTTATACTCAGGTTATTCCATTTTTCTTCGTATTTGATATGTAAAAATATTCATTATGAGAATAATAATCGAATAAAGGTCATCGTCTGTTTACATTATTTTGATCTAGTCGCCCATATAAATGATCTGCCATAATTTTTAAAAAACACAAAAACTTGCAAACGAAAAATGCAACAAGAAAAAGATTTTTCACATTTAACAAAAAAATCTCATCACCAGGAAAGAAGAAGCCATAATTTTTGATTTTCATTTTTTTTCAATATATATATATTGCATAAAACAAAATAGAACTGCACTATATATAAGTATATATATATATATATATATATATACGCATGTTTATCAGAGCCAATACGTCGAACTGACAGAATGTCGCAAAATTTTATAGACTTAAGTAGAATTATAAATAATTCAATAAAATTTTTTAACATTTTGTCAGTTCGACGTATTGGCTGTTCGATGTCTTGGCTTTTTGATATTATGTTCGTTCGATGTATTAAATGACATTTATCAAAATTGTCAATTGACCTAAATATTCTAACGCGAATTTCTAAATTGACCAATTAAAAGCTATTATTAAAATTGTGATTCTTCAATTTTAAAATTCCCGCTTGAATATTTAGATCAAAAATAACAATTTTGATAAATGTCATGTTTACTGCTATTGAATTAAATTGAGACAACTTGGAGTCAGCAGCTACACTATACCTATGTTACTATACGTAATTGCAAAAAGCAGAAAAGTTTTTTTGCATCATTTGGAACGCCCCGACAGTAAAGTGGTTAAATGGGTTGTTGCAACCAGTCTGTTTCAGAATAGGTCAGGAAACGTTGAAGGTTAGGTTCTAAATTTAAATTAGCATTGTTTCTTATTCTGTTAAAAGCCTCTCGAGTTTGTCAGGCCAGTCATTTTTTCTAAAAAAAATTATCAAAAGTTGATAAAGTTGAACCTATGAAGAACAACTTCTGCATTAGCCAGGACAGTTAATTCTTAAACAATATCAACATATTTTATCCCTTTGAGGTTACAATGGGGGATGCATGATTTAATATGTCTAAAAAGGACTAAATAGACTGCCGTACTGAAAGAAAGGTAGGCAAAATTGAGCATCTCGCTGCAAGATATTAATTGAATGCTGCCAATGTCAAAAGCGATTGTTTGTGACGATATGTCAATAAGAAAAACATGAATTTGCGTTAAAATGTGAAAAAATCTCTGTCAACTATTATTGCCGATGTTACTACATCATTTTCCTGTACTAGGTTAAAAGATAAGGAGTTTTCTAAATATTGCCTCTTGTGACTCCATTTATCACTGTTAGCAATATCGACGTATTCACATAAATTGTCAACATTTGAGCTGTCGGATCAAAGAAGAGCACATAAATATTTTCCGCAAAAAATTGTTTTTTTTTTAAAGAAAATTTTCATTGTTTTTTTTTATTTCAACCCGCGACAGCTCTGACAATTTTACGAATTTTTTAATGAAACAAAAACAAACATAAAAATAAAAAAGTTATTAATTTTTTATTCAGAAAATTGCATTTCACGAATTTTGCAAATGTCTCAATAAAAAATTAATAACTTCTTTATTATTAATCAAAACAACTTTTTTCTTTTTCAGTCACTCGTAGAATATAATAACACGTATTTTTGTTTTTGTTTCATTAAAAAATTCAATTTCTTCAAGTTCTTTTCTTCGACAAAAAAAATTTTATAAATTCAATCCTTTTTTTAACTAAATTGTAACTTATTAATTGTAAAAATTCTAAAATGGTGAATTTTTCATCAGCTAAATCAGTAAAATAGCTTTTCAATTCTTTTAATTTCGTTTTTGAATAAATTTTTTGTGATTGGACGCCTACAATATGTTTGTGGATTATATAAATCCCGGACTACAGTGCAATTATCAATTCTAACGTTTAGAAACAAGAAGAATTAAATATTTATTTATATTATTTATATTTATATTATTTCAATCTAAAAAATTAACGAAATTAGAGAAATTTAAAAATAAAGAAAAATCAAATGAATATCTTTTCAATATCACGCAAATATTTCATGCTACTTGGGTTTTTATGAAAATAAATCAACTTTAGGAATTTCAAAAAAATTATTACAAATTCGAAAATCAAAATTTGCTTTTAGAAGAACACTGCTAAAAAAAAGTAGCCAAATGTTGAAGAAGTAGGCAATAGTGATATAGTCCACTCAAATTATTTGAAATACAAGACTTATCATGTTTTAACTCAGGGCCTCAATTTCTTTGCTGAAACCCTTCATTTTAGGATAAAAATAAACTACTTAAATTTGGTTCTATTTTTATTTGGAAAATTGAATCTATTCATTTTTTAGTTAAATTTAAATGATAAAATTTTAAAAATGAAATAAATCCATTCAGCATTTTACGAGAAAAATTATGGAGAACAAATTTTCAATAACTCTTAAGCTGATTAAGATTCATGCTAATAGTTATATTTGAAAAGTATACATTTTTGAAACAAATTGGTAAATAGATCCCGTTAGTTTAATTAATAAATAAACAATTTAAAAGCATTTGCTTCTTTCTTTTTATAAAAAAAAATTATATAGTCAAAATAAATATATAAAAATACTCACAATTCACCAATGCGCTCATGAATGGGGCGGTACGAATTCAACACAAATAAACTCTACACAAGAAAATACTGCACCGCTAACTGTACACGAGTAAACTTTCAATAAATTAAAATTAAAATATATTCTACACAATTAAATACCACATCAGTAAATTCTACATAGTTATAAAAAAAATTAAATTCGACACAATTAAATTTTACACATGAAAATAATATTTTCTTTATTTTCGATTATTTATAAAATTCTACACAATTAAACTCAACATTTATAAATTCTACACATAAAATAAAAACATTTTAATCTTACACAAATAAACTGTACACATTCAAAATTCAACACATGAAATGAAAATAATTATATTCAAAACGAGAAAACTCTACAAAAGAAAATACTCCACCGCTAACTGTACACGAGTAAATTGTCAATAAGATAAAATAAAAATATATTCTACACAATTAAATACTACATCGAAAAACCCTACAAAATAAACTATTAACTAGAAAATTATCTCCATAAACTCTACACAAATAAACTCTACACATTAAGATTTAGAATTAGAAAAATGACAAAAAAAATTTTATAATTCTACACAAATAAATACTACATTAGTTAATTCTACACAGCTATAAAAAATAATAAATTAAATTCGACAGAATTAAATTCAACACAAAAGAAATGATTATTTTCATGTGTTGAATTTAATTCTGTCGAATTTAATTTATTATTTTTTATAGCTGTGTAGAATTAACTAATGTAGTATTTATTTGTGTAGAATTATAAAAAAAAATTTTTTTCATTTTTCTTATTCTAAATCTTAATGTGTAGAGTTTATTTGTGTAGAGTTTATGGAGATAATTTTCTATTTAATAGTTTATTGTGTAGGGTTTTTCGATGTAGTATTTAATTGTGTAGAATATATTTCTATTTTATCTTATTGTCAATTTACTCGTGTACAGTTAGCGGTGCAGTATTTTCTTGTGTAGAGTTTTCTCGTTTTGAATTTAATTATTTTCATTTCATGTGTTGAATTTTGAATGTGTACAGTTTATTTGTGTAGGATTAAAATATTTTTATTTTATGTGTAGAATTTATAAATGGTGAGTTTAATTGTGTAGAATTTTACAAATAATCGGAAATAAAGGAAATATTATTTTCATGTGTAAAATTTAATTGTGTCGAATTTAATTTGTTTTTATAGCTGTGTAGAATTTACTGATGTAGTATTTATTTGTGTAGAATTATAAAAAAAAATTTTTTTCATTTTTCTAATTCTAAATCTTAATGTGTTGAGTTTATTTGTGTAGAGTTTACGGAGATAATTTTCTAGTTAATAGTTTATTGTGTAGGGTTTTTCGATGTAGTATTTTATTGTGTAGAATACATTTTTATTTTAATTTATTGAGAGTTTACTCGTGTACAGTTAGCGGTGCAGTATTTTCTTGTGTAGAGTTTATTTGTGTTGAGTTCGTACTGCCCCCTCATGAATGTCGTCATTTCTATCCGATTGTGATGTTACTGCATTAAATAATTCGTGACGGAAAAATCTTTCCTCTTCCTCTCTTGCATTTGGTTCATGATCATGATCTGTTGTTAATGAGAATTCACCAAAGCGATCGATTTTCACACGTCCAGGACAGTGAAAATTTCGGGATTGCTTGCATATCCCCTCAATATCACAGAAATATTACCCTAGTATGATACGAATGTCACAGGAATATTCCCGCTTGATATCATCGTGATATTTAGGAAATATTATGTGCTATTTGGGTTTTTATGAAAGTTAGTAAACTTTAGAAATTTCAAAAGAGAAGAAATAAATAAAAACTAATTCTAAAATTATAAGTTGTTTTTAGAAGAAGAATGCTGAAAAAAGTAGTCAATCGTAAAAGAAATAGCGAAAAGTGACTTTTAGTAGAGAATTACAATAAAAATTCTAATTATACATCAAAATCATTTAAAATAGAAGGCATTCCTAATTTAAAATGGATTATGGAACTGCAACAAAGAAAAATTTAAATGGACTCATAACACTTTAGAAATGAAGAATGTGTTTAATTTCGACTATTCAACGAGAATGACATTGAATATTATTGTGAGAATCCAGTAGAAATTAATATTAAGTTTGGATATTCTTATTTCGAAGTATATATTATGACAAGGAATATTGAAAATTCCACTACGTTAATATCTGAAACAAAATTGTGGTCTATATAAATGTGGGACTGCAATGCAACCATCAATTTTAAAGTTTACAAACCAAAAGAAGAAATTTTTTTTATAAAATACTTTTGTTGTGAAAATTGATAAATGAATGGAATTTCAATAGAAAGAAATATCACATTGATATCCTCTCAATATTATGGATATATTACCTCACTATTTGATACGAATGTCCCAGGAATATTCCAGTTTGATATCATCGTGATATTCAGGAAATATTATGTTCTACTTTGATTTTTATGAAAGTAAGTAATCTTTATAAAGTTTAATTTCGAGATGTCAGACGTGACGTGATTTTTGATAATTAAAAATAACGTATACTTTAAAACAAAAGTCTAAATAGGATTGATTTCAATCTGCTTGCGTACATTTGAAAATTGCTAAATAGGATTGATTTCAATCTGCTTGCGTACATTTGAAAATTGCCCGTTATACGTACATTTTTTTGAAATATTGAATAGGTATTGGGTTCTTGCAACCAGTTTGTTACAAAGTAGGTCAGGAAACGTTCGAGGTTAGGATCTACATTTAAATTGGCATTATTTCTTATTCTGTTAAAAGCCTCTGGAATTAGTCGATCCGGTAACAATGGCAGTGCCAAAATAAAAAATAAAGTTCTCTTGATTTCATTATCGTCGTTTCTAAAATATCCGACTAATTGAAAAGTTTTCATTTTCCGAAACAGCTGTAATATAAAATGGTGAAGACTCAGGGATACTTCAGATTCAGGAAAAATTTGTTGTATTGCTCCTTTTAAATTCTCGTCATTACAAGTTATTGCTCTATGGATTAGGAATTCAGGTATAATTTGAGGTAAGACACCTCAAATTATACCTGAATTCCTAATCCATAGAGCAATAACTTGTAATGACGAAAATTTAAAAGGAGCAATACAACAAATTGTATTGAATTGTATTGAGTGCACTAAAAGACACTGTAATGATGATTTATGCTTGTAATTTTTATTTTCTGTTTTTTTTAAAATTATTAATGAATAGAATTTCTAATTGATAGAATTTTCATTTGTCCGAATTTTCAAATGGCCAAAGAAACAATCGACAGGAAGATTTCAGCGCGATTGTTTGTTGGGCCATTTGAAAATTCGGACAAATGAAAATTCTATCAATTAGAAATTCTATTAAATGATTTTTCGGTTAGGTAAAAATTCTGTAGTATGAAAAATCGATTATATGGAAATTATATCAAATAATAATTCGAACAAATAAAAATTCTATTCAATGAAATTCTAGCCAATAAAAATTCTTTAAAATGACTATTATATTAAATGAAAATTCGGGCAAATAAAAATTCTGACAAATAAAAATTCTGTGAGTTGAATTTTCCGTTATTATGACAAATGCTATTTCGAACAAATAAAAATTCGGCTTAAAACTAATTAGGACAAATAAAATTCGATAAAATGGAAATTATGACTAATGACTTTTAGAACATAATCATACGTCCCCCATTGTAACCTCAAAGGGATAAAATATGTTGATATTGTTTAAGAATTAACTGTCGTGGCTAATGCAGAAGATGTTCTTTATAGGTTCAACTTTATCAACTTTTGATAATTTTTTTTATAAAACTTGATTGGCCTGACAAATTCGAGAGGCTTTTAACAGAATAAGAAACAATGCTAATTTAAATTTAGAACCTAACCTTCAACGTTTCCTGACCTATTCTGAAACAGACTGGTTGCAACAACCCATTTAACCACTTTACTGTCGGGGCGTTCCAAATGATGCAAAAAAACTTTTCTGCTTTTTGCAATTTCGTATAGTAACGTAGGTATAATGTAGCTGCTGACTCCAAGTTATACTTGTAACAAATTTGCAATAAGCACTACTCAGGCAACTAAGAATTAAATGTCTTAAATTGAGTTTCGGTAAAATTTTCTCAATACAAAGTTGTGAAAAAAATAAGTTCCTAAAAAATGACAAATAAAGTACATCTGTTTTAGTCAAAAGCCTGAAAATCTAAAGCATGATTCAAGTTTATGTTTTAATCATAATCAATGCAATTGAACTGTTTTTTTGTCACAACCTTTTCGCGTTGATTAAACGCTTTAATAAAAATCTTTAAAACACCTAGAAAATACCCCAACATTAAATTGTTTCTACTGTTGATATTTAGATGAATTTAATATGTCTAAAAAGGACTAAATAGACTGCCGTACTGAAAGAAAGGTAGGCAAAATTGAGCATCTCGCTGCAAGATATTAATTGAATGCTGCCAATGTTGAAAGCGATTGTTTGTGACGATATGTCAATAAGAAAAACATGAATTTGCGTTAAAATGTGAAAAAATCTCTGTCAACTATTATTGCCGATGTTACTACATCATTTTCCTGTACTAGGTTAAAAGATAAGGAGTTTTCTAAATATTGCCTCTTGTGACTTCATTTATCACTGTTAGCAATATCGACGTATTCACATAAATTGTCAACATTTGAGCTGTCGGATCAAAGAAGAGCACATAAATATTTTCCGCAAAAAATTGTTTTTTTTTTAAAGAAAATTTTCATTGTTTTTTTGATTTCAACCCGCGACAGCTCTGACAATTTTACGAATTTTTTAATGAAACAAAAACAAAAATACGTGTTATTATATTCTACGAGTGACTAAAAAAGAAAAAAGTTGTTTTGATTAAAAATAAAAAAGTTATTAATCAAAACAACTTTTTTCTTTTTCAGTCACTCGTAGAATATAATAACACGTATTTTTGTTTTTGTTTCATTAAAAAATTCGTAAAATTGTCTAAGCTGTCGCGAGTTAAAGTAAAA